GATAACAATAGCCACACCTCCACCCCTTCCCTGGGCTCTCGGCTGATGGAGCACCTGAAAACCTTCTGGGCACATCTCTCTATTTTTTTCTGAGAAACTTTGACCTGGAGTAAACAGTATAATTTAAAGACTTTTCTGTATTAGAGGACACTTAAAGTAGAGTAACAATTGGTGTATATATGGCATATCCTTTTGTTTGCTAATTTATAATGTACAAGAATACCAGAGCAAAAAGCAATACCTTTTTCCAGGTGAAAGACAAATGGGCCAGAAAGCAATTTAACTCCAATCTCCAATCCTCCACAATAAATAAATAAATGAAACATTATTGTTTCAAAACATGAATTAACTCATATTTCCAATAATTAACATTTGATTTTTACAGGATGTGAAATGTAGATGATTTGGTTACTGAGGAGTTAAGAAGAATTAAGCATTTCTCTTGCCAATGAACTTAAACTACAATTCCAAATTGTTGACAAATGTCTTTTTTTCCTGGTATGATTATTAACTCTGGTAGTTTTGGCATAAAATGAATGGGGGTTACTTGAGCATTACAAACACAATATCTGTTTACTGATGGTCTTATCATCTTTAGGAAATATAATAACTTTATATATATGGTGTGTGCGTATGTGTGCATGCCTTAAAATAGGTGTTGACTCCTGGTGCCTGCCTGGACAAATCCCTTGTAGTTTTCTTGGCAGGATTTCAGAAGAGATTTGTCATTGCTTCCTCTTCCTACGGCTGAGAGAGAGAGTGTCACTGGCCCAAGGTCACCCAGCTGGTTTTATGCCTTAAGGTAGAACTAGAATTTAGTCTCTCAATCCTTGGCCTTTTGCCTTAATCACAATACCAAACTGGTTCTTGCGTCCCTATCTTATATTAATTATACTACATCATTGCTACTTGTGCATACAGCTTAGCAAACATGATCATTTAATCATTTTTATTCTAAAATTAAAATAATACACTGTCATTTTATGGATTCTTTGAATTTTATATGCCTTTTGTTTTGAAGAACTGGTATTTAAACATCCCTTATCCATTTCACTCCCTTCCACACTGTTAACTGTTTTCACTTCTCAAATTCCTAGAAATAATTTGAGGCCAATTTGTGACTATTCTCATGTCCATCATCCTTGAAATGCAGTGAAATCATATGAGAACTAGTACTCTCCAAACAAACATTTTTAAAATGTGATAAAAAAGAACTGGTAGAAGGCCATAAAAATGATATCCAATTGGTTCCCTGTCCCATTCACAGTCTATTTCAGTCTCTGATTAAAATATTTGTAATGCACTGGGAGAGGGAGGATGGCTTTAAATAGCAGAAAAATTAAGGTTGAAGTTATGATGGCTTATTTCCAGCAGGGGTTACATTGTATAAATACACTGTATAATGTAATAGTAATAATGTGATTTACATTGAACAATATTGTAGTTATTTTTATTTAGCATGTTATATGACCACATCTGCCATTTATTAACTATACCTATGGTGCAATGTATTGTACAAGTTCAGCTATTACATAAAGAAGATTGTTTATAGCACAGTTTCATATCTGATGCAAAGATGGATTAAAAATAAAAACAGGCCTGATATTTTATGTGTAAATGTTGCTTCTCTTTGAACAGTAAAAACCTGGAGTGGAATGAAGAGAAAGAATAAAGGAACAATGCCTCCATGAAAGGAGACCGTTTACAGTATGGAAAGGTCTAACTTAAAAAGCCATTATGACACCCACTCATTTTTCCTTCCAAAAGTGAAGTTTCCATCATAAAGTGCTGAACATCCTTTTAGGTAAAGATTTGCCAAAGCAAGGATTACAGAATTAGTGCTGGTAATTCTTTTAATTAATCAGTTCTAAGGCAAATGAAGCCAAATGTAGCCATTGATTGCTTACCTCTTTGGCTGGCCTTCTGTTCCTTTCTTTTCCCTCTGGAAGGAGACTGAGTTAAAAACAAAGTTTCTGGTCTTTTCTGTGTATTATATCCTCTGTATGTATTGATTGTCAGCAGAAAAAAAATAGTTTGCAAAGTAAAGATTCCTAGAATTTTGCTAATGCTAACAGACTTGTCTCTGGGTCATTTATGGGTGGGATGTTGACTTACTTGCTTTGTTGGATTAGAGTTGGATTAACTCTAGAAACAGCCAATCAGAAATCTCTACAGAAGGCCTGAAAACTTGCAATTCATCTAATAAAATACAGATAGACATTAGAAGATATGCTCATATTCAGTTAGAGCTGGATCACATTGCCCATTTACTGATTTCCACAATTGTTGTTGTTAGTTGCGAAGTCGTGTCCGACCCATCACGACCCCATGGACAACGTTCCTCTAGGCCTTCCTGTCTTCTACCATTTTCTGGAGTCCATTCAAGCTAACGCCTACTGCTTCGGTGATTCCATCCAGCCACCTTATTCTCTGTTGTCCCATTCTTCTTCCTTCCAC